GGAGCATAGATTTATACTGCGTCCGACTTCAGGACGCTTGAAATATGGATGCATAAATGACTCATGCCTCTGTCCTCTGGACGTTGAGCATCATCAAAGAAAATATGTGCAATATTTCCCCCTTTCCCTCGTATATTTTCAACCTCCTCTCCTGGCACGTTTTGGAATCGCGATTCGCGCCGTAGTTCACGTCAAACGCCCGACCTTACAGGCGCGCGCCTTTCTGTGTGTACCTCATGTTCCAAGAAGGCCGACCTGGCGCTCCGCGCTGTCTCTCACACGGCTGAGATGCATCTTGTTGTCGACCTCACCTTCCCAGCTCAAAATCATGATGATCATCATCATGATGCTTTGTGAGTCACTTCCTGTAGGGCTAGAGGCCCCCCCCCCCCCCCCCCCCCCCCCCCCCCCCCCCCCCCCCCCCGAATCGATACCCTTTTAAGTCCTTGAGGCCGTCTTTCATATAAAAGAGACCCCAAGTCTGTAAGCTCGCAAGTGTGTTCGACCCCAAGAGGTCACCTATATATGCTTTACTTCCTGGTTGTCTGTATACCCAAATGGATCACTTCCTGTGGGGCTAGAGTCCCCACATTGATAGTTATAGTTGTGCTTGATGTCCTCTTTGATATTTAAAGGACTAGACGTCTCTAGCTTACTCCCAAGTCATTCTGTGCTCCATGAATGGTCTTTTTTTTTTTTTTTTGCATATGCAGATGACCTCTCGGTGAGGGATTGCATCACTTCTTGTTGGGCTGGAGCCACCAAATGATATTCTAGTATGCCCTGGAGGCCCTCTTTCATACGAACCAGACCCCAGTTCGCTAGCTCGCTCCCAAGCGTCAGCGATTGCAGCGTCCATAGTAACCCACATCACAACGGCTGCATTCCAACAATGCTCTGGCAAGACCTGAAAGAACGTTCGTAATAACTAACAAACTGAACATCACATACACTCACAAAGATTATGGAAGATTAGATCATGGAAATAAAATGCACATTTCTCGCTAGAAATGTTATCAAAGCGCATTTGAATCCCGAAAATCATTTGCTAACTTTTTCCATTGAGAATGAAAGGATTGTCAGCCATTGTGTTTTGTTTTCACAGACAGAAACTTGACGCGACGAAGAGACTTTGTCACGTGACGTGGAGGGTTGTCCGACTCAATTGGTACAAACCCGAAACGAATCTGTGACCCGAACAATACCTTCAAATATAACGGCGACCTTAAACGTCAGTTGGCGGCGCCATGGGGCGCCTCGCGTGTCTTTACGCCGGGGATTCTGATACGAGTATGGGACGAGAGCAGGGCTGTCCTCGGATATGGACAGTGGTTTTCAACCTGTGGATCGTGTGTGGGCCGTAGCAGGGGACCATAGGGGTGAACTGGGATGGTCAAAATGTACATTTTTAGAAACATATTCTTTGACATGGTAATGAGAATATTGCCATTTTCAGTTGAGGTGAGAATTGAAGAAAGTAAACCGTTAAGAATGGTTATGTTTTGGTAGTGTTGACACTGTAGTTCCCACACTCAGCCACTAGGAGGCACTGTTATGCACAGGCCTGCGTTTGACAATAAGAAAAAATACTCAATAGACTCTGAAGGTACGTGGATAAAGCTGGAGACACACTGCTTTCATTTAATATCAAACGGGTGTGAAATGTCTTGAAACAACAGATGGGAGTAATCCTAATGTCTTTCAAAGTAAGACTCACTCAAAGTGAGACTTCTCTGCAGTAGCGCCTGCAGAAGGGGCGGCCAGAAGGGGCAAGTCAAAATCTTGGGGTGGCACACTCAAACGGCTACACCGCAGTTTCCGAATGTCTTGAGATTGATCTAAGGAAACGATCAGCCAGTAGAAGTAAAATATGTTGTGCCATACAACATAGTAGGCCTAAAGTATTTTACTTTAATGTTGGCATAATTGAAAGAAAGTGTGCATTTTTCTGTAGCAGAAAATCTCATCCAGACACACACAGAAACACATGTTCCTCCACATGGGCCTGTCCTGTATTTGGATATATATATATATATATATATATATATATATATATATATATATATATATATAACTTTCAGTTTGTTGTCATGTCGAGGCTTGTGAAGAAACTAAATTGCATACATTTTAAATCCTTGGCCGATCTCGTGGATATCAGATTAAGATAGAGATTAGCAAAGAAATGATTAGCATCAAATTCCAATTGCAAAGCATTTGATTCAATTTTAGTTAATTGTAAAATTTGAATAGGCCTGTTTATTGAACATGTTATAATATAGAAACATTGAATAGTTTACTGCATAATACAGTAATGCACAGTATGTATGAGATGTATAAGGATGAGTCAGTTGGGGAGGAGGGGGGGTAGCGGGGTGGCCAGTCATTGTACCCTGGTGGCCATGGCCCCCCCCCCCCCCCCCCCCCCCCCCCGGCCCCCCTTGGAGACGCCCCTGGTTCTTTGGCATTCATCTAAATGCTATTGGATGTCCCTGGAGCCATTTGCTTGTGGTGGTGTTGGGTTGAGGTCGGTTCTGGTTTTGGATCTGTGTATTTGCTGGTCTTGCAGGTCTGTGACAATGCTGGACTGGGATCTTTCTGGTCTGGAATCTTGTTGGTCTCTAGTGGATCTTGTCTGTGATGGTGTTGGTTTGGTTGTGGTCTAGGGTCTCGTGTGACTCTGTGATCTCCAGAGGTTCTGGTCTGTGAACCTGTTCTCTGGTTCTCGTCTGCATTAATGCAGATCTGGGGTCATATTGCTCGATAGTTGTCCTGGTTTCTAGTGGTCCTGGTCTCTAGTGATCCTGGTCTCTAGTGATCCTGGTTTCTATTGGTCCTGGTTTCTATTGGTCCTGGTCTCTAGTGGACCCTGTCTCTAATGGTCCTGGTCTCTAGTGATCCTGGTCTCTAGTGATCCTGGTCTATAGTGGTCCTGGTTCTAGTGATTCTGGTCTCGAGTGGATCTCTACTGGTCCTGGTCTCTAGTGTTCCTGGTCTCTAGTGTTCCTGGTTTCTAGTGGTCCTGGTCTCTAGTGCTCCTGGTCTGGAGTGGATCTCTATTTCTCTGGTTCTGGTCTGTGGTCTTGTTGGTCTCTTGGTCTATGGTCTAGTTCTAGGTTTGCGCTGGTCTCTAATAGGCCCCGGTCTCTCTATGAATCTGAACCCCTCCCTACCTTCCAGTTTCTCTCTCTGAATGGCCTGGCTCCTGTAGCTTCCTGCCACCGGCTCCTGGCTCAGCCCAGATGGAGGTCTCTGCAGACCGGATCACAGGCTTATTACCCCGTGGCTTATGAACTGGACCAGGAGTATTGTCCTGCAGCCCAGGAAACTGTGATAACATCATACACACACACGCACGCACGCACACACACACACACACACACACACACACACACACACACACACACACACACACACACACACACACACACACACACACAGATTCCACCTTCCAATGCCCGGCAGTCCAGGGCGTCTGGGCTGGACCTGGGGCATTGTTCTGGAACTAGGTGTGTGTGTGTGTGTGTGTGTGTGTGTTTAAGTGTACCTGTGTTTGTGTTAGGCTGTGTGTGTGTGTGTGTGTGTGTTTGTGTGTGCGTGAGGAGGGGGGGGTCTCTGTGCGTGCATGTGTGTGTATTTGTGTGTGTGCTCTAACTCTATAAAGCTCATTTCCTGTCTGGCTCATAGAATAACAGTAGGAATCCTAAACGCCACAATCACTGATATGAAACTATACCACACATTCCTCTGGGGGTGTGTGTTGTTGTAGTGCTTCTAGGAGAGTGTGTGTGTGTGTGTTTAAGTGCTTCTAGGCGTCAGTGTGTATGTGTGTGTCTGTGTGTGTGTGTGTGTGTGTGCGCACTGCATGCAGTGTGTGAGAAACTGAGGTGGCCAAACATGAGATGGGAGGGAGGGCAGCATATTTCTTACTAATAAATTAATTTATAATGACTAATAATATATTATAATAAATGTAAAATCTGTAATAAAAGCTTAAGTGTGTGTGTGTGTGTGTGTGTGTATGTGTGTGTGTCCGGATGGGTGTTTCTCCTTAAAGCTCTTTGTTAACACTTGTGTGGAGAAAGTAGAAGGTCAGAGATAAGAGAGAGAGAGGTTATTTAAACACGGGGGGGTCAGGCGATACGACAAGCAAGACGGTTCCAACTTAGAACCCTAAGGAAACACTAACTGGTGACCTTTCACCCTTGGGTCCCCACATTCACCTGGTCCCCATAAGTGTGTGAGTGTATGTGTCAATATAGGTGTGTTTTTACATTTTTTAACTGACTTGGTCGTGCATGACACGTTGATAAGTTAATAAATGTTTCAGGGATGACAATGGTTAGCTTCAGAATTAAATTGTAGAAGTGTGTGTGTGTGTGTGTGTGTGTGTGTGTGTGTGTGTGTGTGTGTGTGTGTGTGTGCGTGCGTGCCTGCGAGCACGTGCCGACATTCGTGAAAACAATCATACAACAATCCCCGAAAGAGATAAAGAAGGTTGTTATCCTCCAAGTAATCTTGGCATGTCAAATTCAATCTTCTGCTCTGGGTGTATTTAAACCAGGGTGTGCTCACATGACCTCACACACACACACACACACAAACACACACACACACACACACACACACACACACACACACACACACACACACACACACACACACACACACACACACACACACACACACACACACAGGGAGTTACCGTCCCGTGTGCGTGACGGCTTGGTCCAAGTGTTCTGACATTTATTGTGTCCTCACACAATGAAGACCTTTAACTCCGGCCAATCACAGGAAATGATTTAAGCGTCCAGTCATTCTCTCACGTCCAATCCCCATCCTCCACAGTACAATCCACAGAGATAAAAGCTGGTCTTCAGCGTCACGTCAGACCTGAATGCAGTTGGGGTGGGGGTCGTATAATGTGGGCCTGTGAAGACCCAAACTGTTACTGTCGATTAAGTTGTATAAATAAAGTTGAGTTCAGTTGGCGTGAAACCTTTGTTGGGGTAGTGTGGTGCTAAGGGGTGTTTGACTCCCAGTCAAAAGGTTCTGGGTTCAATCAGGCATCCTTGAGCAAGGCGACCCCTGACCTCGACCTGCTCCTTGATGAAATGTTGCCTAGCAACAGCATCACGAGACAGAATTGTGAGCATTGGAATCGTTCCAAAAAGGTTGTCATCATTTTGGGGTTTTCTTTGATATGTTTTGTCAACCGAATGTATTGAGTGTCAAATGTCTCATTCATATATTAATATTAGGCTAATATAAAATAACGTGTTTAAAAACATTTATTCACGCACATGCCGAGAGCGTCCAATGGCTAATTCATAAAATAATAATATTTATTAACATAATATATTTTAAAACTTTATTCGCTGCAAGCTGCAAATGTCAAATGTCTCAATGTCGAGTCTTTTACCCTTTATAAAATATATAAAAACCCAGGAATCAATGTTGCGGCGAGGGATCTCAAGTGCGAAGAAAAAAGTCACAACTGCTGGCAGCACAATAGCGAATTCCTTCTTTATGGAGTCGGGATGGGAGAAGCAGCTATGAGTACTTCAGCGTTTCCACATTAGGAATTATGAGGCGTTAAGCTGCACTTCTTTTCAACTTTTTACATCTCCCCCTCTTCGAGTTCGCGCAATTCCCTGAGAATTCAACCAAACGATGTTAGCAGCGGGTAAGCTAACTCGTATACCTGTCAGCTGATCAAGACTGGGCTCTGGTCGGCCGTATTGGCAGCAGGCGTGACCCTGCGGTTGCCAGTCAACCTGCTGTTCGCAGTGCCGATTTATTTTACATGTTTTATGTACAACTTTGATGCAACAACTGTTTCAATAAAGTCACTGTAAAGTCGCTGGTGAGTTATGAAGTAGTTGGAGCCCGTCTTCCACGCCGGTTTTTACACGTGTTTGACGTTTATTAAAAGGACTAAACCCAGGTGAGATTTTTGAGTTTATTTGAGGACGAGAGGTGCTTTTGAATCCTGGCTATCAGCGTTGATATGATGCGTTGATTTCTGGAGCGTAGGAAGAGGCGGTTGAGATCAGAGGGACTTATGCTACGTTGACGTGCTCCTCGGACGGTCCCGTTTCCCGAGTTGGGAAGTCGTTCTTCCGACCTCGGTGTGTTGATGAGCTTTTAATGCTGCAATCCATTGCAAGTCAGAAGTCAATAGTTCTGAGGCGGTATTCCTGACTTCCAATCTAAATGTGTCCCAGTGCATCTGCTCAGTGGCGTAACTATCGACGGTGCAACCGGTGCATTGCACCGGGGCCCAGATGCCGGGGGGGGGGGTGCGCAGCACCCCCCCCCACGTTGTTATGCCGCTGCATCTGCTCTACATAAAGTAAACAATGATGAAAAGCTAATTCTGCTTACTGTTCACTGTGTGCGCCGCCATATTGCTGTGACGTCAGGTGTATTTATGTTGGCGAACTCGGGCTGGAATTCCGACTTTTCTGTGTGGGAGGTCGTTTATTTCCCAGTTCCGAGTACAATGGATTGCAGCATCAGATGAAATGTGGAAACAACATGGACGCTACAAAGAAGATGTTGTATTTTAATGCTCAAAGTGTTACAAAATATTTGCTGCACCAGTACCCATTCCATAAAACCAAATATTGCTTTAGCTGACTTATCAGCGTTAACGCTAATAAATAACTTCTTCTTACTAATCTAGGTCACTCTATGTGGACAGCAATTAACGGTTACAACCTAATACCATATGGCTTACCTTACAAATTACCTGTGAACAAAAAATGTTTATGCAATACGTGAATTAGTAAAATGTTTCTTACCAACATTTACTTTTGTCCGCCATGTTTCTGCGTATATCATATGAAGTCACAATTCAGCAAGTCGGGACTTTCCGAATTGTTCACTCGCAATTTTTTTTTTTTCCACCACATGAATGCAACAATAATATCCTCTCAGTAGGGCACAATGTCAACCAACCAACATCCAGATTGAGCAGAGAAAGGAATGTCCACTCCTTCCAATCCAGCCGTCCAATCCACTTCTGTTTCTTTTATTAAGTGTCGAAATTAAAATGATTATCGCTAACATGTAATTAGAAAACTGAAGCTCAGTTAGTCATACACATGCGCTATTTGAACCGTTTGCCTGACTTTCATCCCCTCGCTCTTTTTTCCTCATTTTCTGTTCCACTCCTTTTTCTTTTATTAAGTGTCGAAGTACAAGTTGTTATCGTTAAGTTAACTTTAAGCACGCAATTAGAACACCACTTCTTGGAATGTGACACGCAAATCACACAGGAATGCATGCCTGTGGTCACCGCGGTTACTCGCGCTACCTGAACCGGCAGAAACCCTATCCGGGTACCCCCCTTCAACAGAATCCACCTGCCAGTCAGACCCCCATATAGACCCCCCCCCCCCCCCCCCCCCCACACACACACACACACACACACACTCCTACGAAGACCTCCACCTCACCTTGGATAGGAAGATCTGTGGCTCGTACGTACACAGTATGACTTTTTAGTGACCACAGGTTCAATTTCCACCTGCAGTTGGATGCTACATGTCCCGGTCTCTCTCTTTCAACTCACTTTCCAGTCTCTCTTCACTGTCCTGTCCATTAAGGCACAAAAGTCTATAAAAAAATATTTCAAAAAAGATTTATGGTTATGAAATTATTTTTTGTGTGTGCCAGTTTTGGGCCAAAGGGACACCAAAACACATTATTTTACTGTTATTTTGCTGTGGGACTGGGAGTACACTAGCCTTGTATTAACAAGCTCATGATTGATTCAGTCATTTTAGACTGTGAGTTGAAGCAAAGGTTGTTTTTATTGAAAAAATTAAAATGGCAGACCAGTGGTCTGGCGGTGGGAACTAGTCAGGCTCCTGTCACCATTGACGTTTCTATTTTCTGAAGTTGTGTGGAGGTTTTATACAACGGCACTTGTAGTTTAGACCTTCCCCCCAGGGGGTTGAAATACAGTCTGCTTGCCTCGCTGGAGGGCGGCCTGTGAAAACATATCGTCAAGGCTCTCGTTCTGAGGGAGCTGTCAGAGACAAGCGCATAAACCATCCATCTTGCTTTTCTTCTTCCGGTCAATCATGCACGGAGCTGGGGTTGTGTAGCCAGAGTCCCCAGACACACACACACACACTATTGAAGGGCTCCTATTTTATTACCAGGTGCGAGGTTAATGAGCCATTTTAAAGCCATTCCCAAATGTGGCTCTTTGTGACATCACAAAAGGCCACCCCTGGACGCATTCCGGACTCTTCGGTGAAGTCGACAATAGGACAATGTTGTTTTTATTGATTGAAATACTCCATCGCACTGCCATGCCATGTCTTCATGCGGTCTAGCGCGTGTCTTCCAGTTTTTGCAAAGCATCATGGGTAATGGCTCGTGAGCATGGTTTTTCACTCAATATAATGGTGCATCATGGGAGCCGTTGACATTAACGATGTGACATGGCACCCAGGGGCCGAGCTGATGTATAAATATGATGTAGTCTTTTCAAGTGGAGCAGGATATTAGCAAGGACACAATGTCGGAGGAATGTGGTTTGATCCTTTGGGATTCGAATTGAATGTGTAAAAAGTGACAAATCGTGTACCATTGCTAGCCAGCTGTGTTAGCCAGCTGTTTGTGAGCAGACTGTGTGTTAGCTTGTCTCAGAGGGGAGGGAAATGTGAAGACTGCCAGCACCGATTTCTTAACTTCATCATAAAATCTATTTTTAATTATGGTCATTTGGATTTCATTTGTTTGTAAAATAGTGAATAAAATAATTGTTGGCAGCATAGGCGAGCTAAATTAGCTAATTCAAACACAGAACAACAAGATGGCTGCCATGGACGTGCCAAACTAACTGGTGACTCATCAGTTTTTGAGGTGGGAAAACAGAACACAACGCCCTAGTTCTTGTCTGACAATAGGCACTTTTAATTATTTGAGCACAAAAGAAAATAAGAAATCAGGAACAATATTTTAAAAAGGCATTTTCACTCTATCAACACATCTTTACATGTACATTCCTCAAGTGGTAACGAAAGAGTTTCACAGAAAATAAAAGAAATAAATCTTAATATCGACATTCAGTTATCAGTGTTTAATGGAATAGTGTGGTTTTTAGAAGAAATCAATGAGAATAGTAAAATGTACAAAAATGGAGAGTGATTCAGTTTGTTCTAAACACCAGGAGAGAAAAAATACAAACAATATTAATGTTCAGCTAAAAAAAATCACTGCATTGTATCTTATGTCTTCCCTTACTCTCTATCTTTCCATCTCTTCGTTTCTCACACTCACACACACATATGAAAAGATGCACATCAAAACTGGAATTTTATTAGAAAAATAATAATTGCAGTGAAAGTGGCAGGCTTAGAGGCTGCCATGTTCCCAAACTAAAAAAAGCAGTTTGTTATAATCCCCGGACCAGCTGGGAAATGCAGTTTTTTTCTATTCAAATAAGGCACGTGA